ACAAAAAATATATTATGTAAGTGTAATAAATAAGATATTTATAATTTCTAACACTAATTTTATTTCTAGATTATGCAAGTTGAAAGTGTAAAAATAGGATGTACACAAATTCCAGTTAAAAAAAAAATTTACTAATTATATAATCAGCATTCTATATTCATAAATCTTATCATACCTTACTTATTATGAAGGTATAAAGGTTATTAACTATACAAATTATTTATTATTAATTTGTCCATCAAATCATTCTTAAAAAGAGCCATCGAACATCGGAGACACTATATTAATAGTATTTTTTCAGATGAAAATGCAATGGATTTATTGATTTAATTGATTTATGCCAAAAACTTGGCCCATATCCTTTTGCGAAGTGAATCTTCACTGATTACACTATGGTTGTCAATATCTTTAGCATGGACTCTCATTGGCTGCGTTTAGCAGAGAAAGCAGATCAGTGAGTCTTTCAATGATTCTTTATTATGATTGGTTTCTACACTTATATTCAACGAAGATCTAAAGGCAAGGACCAATCATATCGAAAAATCACTGAGCGCTCACTGATCTGTTTTCTCTGCTGAACGCAGCCATTGATCCTCGGAACGCGTCTGCGCGCGTCGATTACCAAGTGGCCGAATAATAACAGTACATGCCATGGCCAATGGGGAGTCGCGATTTTCCGGTTGCATTGAGGTCTCATGGTCGACCGTTGTCGCCGGTGTCGCAATCCATCGTTGTTTTCTTTCATAAATTTTCCTCTAGTCGAGTTCGAGCGCCATTAATAGTAGATATTGTTACATCCAGCGACGCATCCGTTGTAATCGTCGTCGTGTCGTGTTCGTTAACCTTTCGTTATCATCATCGTTGCGTATAATTGTCATTGTTGCCGCCGCTATCGAGATTACCAAAGAAGCTCGTCATTACGATTTCGACCACCAACGTTTACCATCACTGCAGCAACAGCGGTCGAAGCAGCCCTAGCAATCTCTCTCTTTCTTCCCACCTGTTTTTCCCTTTCCTTCTTCCCCCTCTCTTCTCTCTCTTTCTCTCCACTATGATTCCATACTCCACGTGCTTGTCTTTTGGGGGTCATCGCAACGCCCGCTACTGGGTAGTTACATATGACGAAATCTATCCCTACTCGGTGAGTCGTTTAAA